GACTGCTTTTGCTATTCTGGGTCTCTTCTGGTTCCAGATGAATTTAGGGCATGTTTTCTCGAGATCTGTGAGGTATGCTAATGGTAGTTGAATGGGAATTGCATTGAATCTGTATAGCAGTTTTGGGAGTATGGCCATTTTCACAATGTTGGTTCTTCCTATGCATGAGCAAGAAATATTTTTCCATTTACTGAAATCTTCTTTTATCTCTTTTTTCAGAGTACTGTAGTTTTCATTGAATAGATCTTTCACTTCTTTTGTTAGGTTTATTCCTAAATATTTCAATTTCTTGGATGCTATTGTGAAACATATGGTTTCCTTAATTTCTCTCTCAGTCTGTTTGTTGTTTGTGTCTAGGAATGCTATCGATTTTTGGGTGTTGACTTTGTATCCAGGTACACTGCTGAATTTGTTGATTAATTGAAGGAGTCTTCTTGTGGAGTTTTTGGAGTCTTCCAAGTACAGTATCATGTCATCTGCAAATAGTGATAGTTTTACTTCTTCCTTTCCTATCCTTATTCCTTTTAGTTCTCTCTCTTGTCTAATTGCTCTGGCTAATGGTTTCAGAACTATGTTGAACAAGAATGGTAACAGCAGACATCCTTGTCTTGTTCCTGATGTTAAAGTAAAGGCTTTCAGTTTTTGTGCATGTAGTATGATGTTGGCTGTTGGTTGGTCATAGATGGCTTTGATCAGGTTGAGGTAAAGACCATCTATTCCTATTTTCTGTAGAGTTTTTATCATGAATGCATGTTGGACTTTGTTGAAAGCTTTTTCTGCATCTATTGAGATGATCATATGGTTTTTGTCTTCGGCTCTATTGATATGGTATATAATATTAATTGATTTGTGAATATTGAACCATCCCTGCATTCCTGGACTGAATCTGAGTTGGTCGTGGTTTGTGATTTTCTTGATGATTCGCTGCATTCTATTTGCTAATATTTTATTGAGTATCTTTGCATCTACATTCATTAGGGAGATTGGTCTGTAGTTCTCTTTCTTTGTTGGGTCTTTGTCTGGTTTTGGTATCAGTATAATACTTGCCTCCAGAAATGAGTTAGGGAAAATTGCTTTCTTTTCAATTTCATTGAAGAGTTTAAGGAGTGTTGGTATTAAATCTCTGAATTCCTTGTAAAATTCTGCTGTGAATCCATCAGGTCCTGGGCTTTTCTTTGTCTTCAAGTTTTTAATCTTATTTTCAATCTCATTAATTGATATTGGGTTGTTCAGAAATTTTATCTTCTTGACTCAACCTTGGTAATTTGTACATATCTAGGAATCTGTCCATTTCTTCTGAGTTTTCTATCTTATGGGAGTAAGATTTTCAAAGTAGGTATTAATGATCTTCTGAATTTCTGTGGAATCTGTAGTAATTTCACCCTTTTCATTCCTTATTGCATGAATTTGAGTTCTTTCCTTTCTTTTTTGGATAAGGTTGGCTAGGGGTTTATCAATTTGATTTATTCTTTCAAAGAACCAACTCTTTGATTCACTTATTTTTTGTAGGGTTTTCTGTGTTTCAAGTGCATTAATTTCTGCCCTGATTTTTATAATCTCTTCCCTTCTTTGGGCTTTGGGTTTGACTTGTTCTCCTTTTTCTAGAAGTTTAAGGTGCAACATTTGGCTATTTATTTATTTTCTTTCTGTTTTCCTTATGTGTGAGTTCACTGCTATAAATTTGCCTCTGGGGACTGCTTTCATTGTATCCCACAGATTCCGGTAAGTTGTATTTACATTTTCATTTGTTTGTAGGTATTTTTAATTTTTTCTGTGACCCATTCGTTGTTCAGGAGGTTGTTATTTAATTTCCAAGTGTTTATGAAGTTTTTGGAGTTCCTTTTGTCATTAATTTCCAGTTTCATTGCACTGTGGTCAGATAATATGCATGGGGT